ATGTCAAACAGAAACTTAGGTTACATTCATAAAAAGGGCCTCTAACATGTTTATTTTAAAATTTCTTAAATGTTTAAAGGGCTTGGGAGAGGAGAACAATGGAGATAATAGTTTCTTTAGCACCATAAATCAGTAATTTACTAAAGAGGTGCATTCAGTTTTATGGAAATTAAATTAAGGACTAGTACATTCAAAACTGTAGGCAGCAAACTCTAGTCAGTGCTACAGGTATCCAAGTAGAGCATTTTAGGCTTTCAACCCTCCTCACTGGGAGTCAAAAACAAAAGGCCTCTTCTAATTTTCATTCTAAGCCTTATCTTTTGTGCTGTAAAACCAGATATCTTTGAAAGAAGCAGGGTGTTTTAAACATCTTTCTCCTTTCTGAAAGGGATGTCTTAGATTCAGAAACCACTGAACCTGATAGGTGGACCAGACATCCTTTCCATTCAATGTTGAGTGTTTCTTTTCTACTTACCTAGATACTGATTTTAAAAGCCTCATTCACACCTTAAGCATTGTACTAAGCCTCTTTACATTGTCCTTCTCCAGTTGTTTCATTTCTTAGTTATGATTCTGAAACCAAGAGTACATCTCAAGTATCATGTAGCTACAATTGGGGCTCTGCTTCATGACTGTAGCTACTGTTTAATGCTCTGAATAAAAAATGTGCCTTAAAGGGTAGCCTGTGTACTACCATCAAAATAGTCCCATGCTGGCTGAGGACCTTCAAGTTGATGACAGTGTTTCCCAAGTTAAACAGCACAGCTAAATTTTTTTCTCTCTTAGTCAGGTCCTTGAGAAACTTTTACAAGAATCCCTGGCCTACATTGTGTTGACAAGTTCCCTATTTTATCCCTACTTACTAAAATGTTTGATTTTGGTACTAAACCTAAACATAATGGTGGGCTTAGTGAATTTTATGATTAGAAAATAAATTTCATATTAATTTTATTTCATAAAAGGACATATTCCTATAATAAGCTATCATTAAAAAAATCCTAGGTAAAAATAAAACTCCAGAAATTAGATAATTGCTTAATAATCTAGGGGAAAAAACCTTATAGTTCTAGTTCTAGTTAGGACTAGCTAGTGCTCTATTCTTCTCTTCGGGACAGAAACTCAGTTCTCTTCAATTCTTGGAACTTTTCTGAGAGCATCTGTAAATTGAAGATGTGGCAGATCTGCGTCAGACTGGTTCAGCTTGGTAAGAGCAAGCTTGGTTAAGAGGTCCTTGGATGTGGTTTTTCTCCTTTAGGCAGTAAATGCTCATTAGGACCCACTAAAACAGAAATTCACTAAAACTGCAGAACCTCACATAACAGGACATAGGATGCTAGCCAGAGCTGTTTACAGCTTTTGAAACATCCTTTATGCTTCTCTCTCTTACATACATGCTTAGCCCCCTCCCTGTCCCTCCCTCCCCCCTGCACAAATACAGATGCTTCTCAGCAAGGAAAAAGGTCAGAGAAGGTAAAAGTTGTCACAAAAGCCCACCTAGCACCAAAGACTTCAGGAAGATGGCTAAAGAAGTGACAGTCAAGGTAGTGCAGGAGGTTTGAAAAGATTAGGAGAAGGTAAGGCCTTAACACATAACTGCACAGAATAACAAGAAGTCAGAAGAGAAAGCTTAGAGGAAGCAGCATATGCGAGGAAGTTGGTATATGAGACGCTGGAGAGGCCACTGGCCTAAGCCAGTTATCACAACCCAAACATAACCCCCCAAATCTTGAAGAACCTTGGTCAAGGCTACAATTTCAGCACCCTCTCCACATAGTCTAACTAGGGCAGAAAGGGGATCAGAGATATTTTTACAGACCTTCAAGGAAAAGGAGTTTCCAACTTTCCTTAGTCATGTGAAATTCTCTCAAATTCTCTCTCTCTCTCTCTCTCTCTCTCTCTCCCTCTGTATTTAAAATTAGATTTAAAAGTGGCCAAGACAATTAAGGATAACTAAGGGTGAGAAAGTTGCCCTCTGAAATTCCAGAAGTAGCCTGGCTAAGGTTCTTAAACTCTGACACTTTGGGGAGGTGGAATATAAAATTATAAAAGAAGAAAAATTCCAAGATCAAGGACTGACATTAAATAAGAAGAATAATGGAGAATACCATTTCCAGGAGAATAAAGATCAAATCGGATTCTGTTGAGGAGGCATTAATAGGAAGCAGCATCTCAGAGAGGTGTTAGAAAGGAGTGGTAATCAGGAATTTCAGATCAAGGAAAATTCCAAAAATCTGACTTGAAATATCAGTGATAGGACAAAACATTATTTTTATATCATGGTCCTCACTCCACTAAGGCAGATGGTTGAATAAGGGAGCTCCAAAAAGTCAGGCCTACTATGTTGTGACAGGAAGAAAAAAAATGTGAGCAGTGACAGGACCAAAAAAGCCATAAAAACTGAAGAGCTCAGAATGTAATGTACTGAGAGGATATTAAATGAGATTAAGAGAATAAGCCTCTTCTTATCTTTCTATTAATCAAACTTAGTTTCTTGTTATGTTTTAGTACAAAATGACTGATTATAAGTCACTGAAACATATGTTAAAAACATATAATGCACGTAGGCCATTAAAAACGGTACTTTAAAATGTCAATTCTCTTTGGAGAAAGGGATGAACCATGTCCTAGAATTGGCCCATAATGGGCTCCAGAGGAGCAACTGAAAGAGTATCCATTCCAAAGTACTTGTGATAGCAAGTTCTGACAAGGAAATTGTTTCTGAAAGTTTCAGGCTGTCCTTCTACCCACCCCCACCCCATTTTACAAAGCTGAACTGATACTGAGAAAAACTGGAACAACTCCTCCCATACTTTTTAATATAAAACACATTGTACCCATGGAACATTTTCTGTGTTTCTTCTTTAATTGCCACCTTTTGATTACATAAAAGGCACTCCATTCCTGTAAGTGACTTTGAGGTCTGGAGTCTTAGGGATCATAATACAGGAAGAGTTGCTGATTCCAAACCAAAATTTAGCTGCAAAACAGAAAAAACAAAAACAAAACAAATTCTAGATCCTAAGAACCAGCCATAGTATTAAGCATAAACAGCTAGCTATCAGAGTGGAGAAATAGAAGAAAGTATTCCAGTTTGATTATTTTCCCTTCTGGACAGCAGCTGTAGAGTAGGAGACATGTTTCATCTGGTGCCTTTCCATTAAGTTATTGTCTAAGACTCACCGCACAAGAGCATCAAAGCCTAGGAACAGGCCTGAAGCAGCCTCACAAAATGCTCCTCACCCACTCGTTTCCATAGACACACACAATCACACCATCAAGAACACAGGCTTGTTCATCTTACTACCTAGTTATAAGTAGTAGAGCAGGCTGGTGTAAGGAATCATGAACTGGGAAGTGTATGTACTTATATATGTGACAGGCTTCCTTCCATTTCTCTCTGACTACTTTCAAATGTTGCTTCTCTGTTTGTGAATATATTTAGGTGGCAATGACTAGGTAGGTTTATATTTTCCTCAAGTTTTTCCTTTTGAAACATCTTCCTTTTTTTAAGTCTCCCTTTCCCCCACCCACTTATTCTCCACCCTCCCACCCACAGCCTATATATTCACAAGTTAATAGGTTAGTAACAGTATTAGTAAGAATAGTAACAACGACAACAACCAACAACATTAATAATATTAATCCCCTATATCTGTATAGCACTTTACGATCTACAAAGCGCTTTTACATCCATTATCTCATCTGTGCCATAATGCATCAGTCATTAGACACACAGGCCTTCAACTGTGCAAGGAAAATAGGTCAAATGTTAGAAGTCAAGTGGTGAATAAAGGGGAAGAAAAAGCAACACTAGTAGTGTTGAAGCTGTGAAATTTAAAGACAAAAGGGAGAAGGGCTGAATAAAAATGTGATTTCAAAAATGTATATAAAAAATTGAAATTTAAGTTTAGTGTTTGGCATCAAATACTAGTCATCCTCAGACTAAGTATATATGGCCCTGATTAGTTGTTACCACAAATTGTTCAGCTTATCTAATATATGTACTTAATTCATAGAAGTTGAACTGAGATGCCTTAACATTTTTTAAATGACATTGGCATTGCAAGATTAAACACTTAAAGAACACTAAAGCCATGATATGAGCACTTTTGACAAAACATTTATGAAACTACTTAAATAAAACAATCTATGTACTTCATTTATCAGTGTTGATTTTATAGCTATTTTATAATTTATCCCAGACTATTATAAAATATATAAAACTGAGATATAAAGTATCAGCAATATAACTTTGCACTTTAAATAATTTTCAGCTACAGATTTTGCTTTTAGAAAACAAACTTTAAAGCAGCTGTTTTGTTTCCTTGTAAAAGGTTTTATAAATGCATATATTAGGTCCCTGATGGACTTAGCTGTCATGACTTTTTCAACAATTGAACTGTTAGACAATGGAACAAACAAAATTTTATTGTGCCTTATTTAATTGTTCATGTTTCCACATAGGACAGTAGGGTTTAAAATTTCAAAATAATGTATGTATATATATTTAAAAATTCATTAATGAACTTTAAACTGTGGGGTGAACCTGTGAGATGAGGTAAGGAAATTTGGCACATTTCAAACAGTATCCTTTAAGTTTTGGTAAATTGTGTAACACAACATATTTTTCCACTGTGATCTATAGGTGCTATCCACATAAGTGGGGGTGGTTAATAGCAAGAATCACTGGAATGTTTCTAGTAAATCAACAGGGACAAGCTCCCCAAATACTCACAACCAAATGTTGATATAGCAGTAAAAATATATACAATACAGTCACTTGTTTGTAGTTTGGCACAATGTTTTCCTTTTCTTCCTTGGGTAAATAGTGCATAAACTACTTGTGCAACTGTATGACTTTTGAAGTCTTTTACATACAACATCAGATTAAAGTTTGCTTCCAAAGACTTATTCCCACACTTCAAAATTCTTTTTTTTTAAGCACTTACATGTCAACATACATACCACAAGGCATATTTGAAAGAAATAAAACACAAACATCAAATGTCTTTCTGGAAAATATGAGTTTCTTCTTCAAACACAGGTAAAACCCAAAATGCTGTTTCTGCTTTTAGGAGATTGTAGTCGGAATCCCTGCAGAAAAACCAAACAATTTATGCCACCTTAGTTAGCTTTAGTGTATGTCCCACAAAGGGATCATACAATCTAAATTTGTTTATATCATACTAAATGCTGTATGATGCAGAAAGAAATACAAATACAGGGGGCACTAGAAAGCACTCCAACTTGCCACACGATGAGATTTTGTTTTCCAAATTATGCTCTTTTTGCTTAAATGGTCTTGCCCTTTTGTCTATATAACTTTTTGATTCTGTTGTTCAAAACTTTTTTTTTACTGCAAAGCCCTTCCCTTCCCAAAATCATTCAAGAGCATATTTTAGTTCTATTTTCTCAATCAGTAAAAACTAATGCTGAATAGCAGAAAAAGTAGCCTTGTTAGAGTTTATCCCTAGCTAAGCCATAACAAAATTGCCCAATCTTTTGGGTGGCTTAAAGGTGTAGGGATTTTTCATGCACTTTTTTTCTTTTTAATTTGAAAAAAAGAAGGGAATGGGACAGTTTCTTTCATGCAAATTTTGCTTTCAAGAAGGAAAAAATGAGGGACTGTGGACTTAGTAGGCAGTAAGAAAGCTAAGGGTACATCATTTCGGCCATTTTGGTGCAGTATTACCTTAGTTTTTCAAAAGAAGCTGTCCCAGCCTCATCCTTGTGGACCTGTTCTCGCTCCACGCACTTTCCCTTACACTTCTCATCTCTCAGGACCTTGGAGCTGGATTTGTGACGATATAACTTTTTGTGTGTTGGTCCATTATTGCCTAAAGTGCTCAGGTTATTATACTTTTTATCAAAGAAGGCAGAGCGAGAGTCCTCATAACCATGCATGTTTGCATGACCAGGATCACCTATCGCTGCTTTCCCATTGCTTTTACTCACACCCTTGATGGACCTGTGATTCTTAGTGGCTCCTGGGGACCCACTGTTGACTTTTTTCTTAGATTCCTGTGGTGTCCCAGCCAATATTTTGAGGGTTTTTAATTTTAGACTATTGGACTCTGGGGAGTAGAATATGTTGGGATCCCCATGGTGCTCCATGGGTTCCCAAAGGGGCTCTATGGAGGCCATCATGAATCTCTGTACATCTGCCATACCAGAGGCGATGTTGGATAAGATATAGGAAGGCTCCTGAAATTCCCGTTGGTCATCATCAAGGAGGTTATTGGTGTTGGTGCCCATGTTCAGGTCACTCCAGGCTGAGCTGCTCTCTTTCCCCAAAGTCCAATCTCCAGAAAGTCCTTTTTGACTTGGTATCTTCATGGAGGCCACAGGGCTACCATGTTGGATACATTCGTCCAATGTCTTCTCTGTGGAAGATATGCTGTTGATTTGTCCTCCCCCATGGCCAATGCCAATTTGCATTTTCTCTCCATTAATTGCAGCCATGTATTTCCCTTTCTTCGTCGACTTAGGGGCCTGGCGGGAGGTTTTGCCAGGTGGCTTTTCAATCCCTTTGTTGGCTTTGAGAGATTTTTTCCTGGTGTTTTTCTGAGAAGAGCTTTGGTTCATAGCTGCACTCTTGCTGGGTGAACTTTTCTTTCTTGATTTTGACATTTTGTTGTTAGTACTCATTTGACCAGATGGATCATTAAATGCTGATAGGCAAGGAGTTTTTTGGAGCAGGCTGACAGAATCCTCATCATTGAACATATGGAACTGAAACTGATGGTTATTTAAAGCAAATCCATCATTCACTTGAACCTGCTGTGAAAGGGTACTGCAGTCCCATTTGGTTTTCTCCATATTGCTCAATGGTCCTGGGATGCCCTCTTGGAACTCCTTCAGTGTTCCTAGCATCTTGATACTCTCGCATCTGGTAATTTGAGGGGAAAGACTAGGGGTGTCAGGTGGGGACATCTCTGAGAGAGATGAGTGGCGGAATTTGTCAGGAGTGAAGTTGGAGATATCCAAGAGGTCAGTAGACTCCTTTAATGGTGTTATCTCATCAATACTCTGCTGGATCACTAGCTTGGGGCTGCAATGGGCTAGGAAGTCATCAGTAATATCATCATCACCATCCTTTTCACAGGATTTCAAGCTTAAGGAGCAATAACTGCTTGAGTTGACAGAGAGTGGGGCCATTGAATCAAAGCTAAAGAGCCGATCATCATCCATATTGGCTGGGCCCTGCTGGAAAGGAAAGCATATCTCTCCATTATTAAAGTGACATAATTGATAAGAGTCATCAGATGGGAGTTGGGTGTCTTGCACAGAGGCGTATACGACCTTGTTGCAATTACTGCCACTACTATTGAGGCAGATTCGATTGTATGTTGTAGCTGTGAGGTTATTTCCCATGGAGACTACTTGGGAGACTCCAAATTCATTAGATTGGGTTGGAGCTATCTCCCTTGAAACTTCAGCCATGAATTCCGGGGGGCCAGAAGTAGGCTTGTTGGGCCACACATTTCCATAGTTGCTTGATTCTATTTTGAAGTTTTGGGATGACTGCTGCAGCTCAGACTCAGAGGATGCGGAAAGCACACAGTCCTGGACAGGCTGGAGAGGCACAAAAGATTTTTCCGTTTGAGTGAGGCTGCCTTCATTTTGCTCTGGAGAATGGTGAGTGAAGTATGATATACCAGTATTATTTGACAAATCAGAAGCATCTAACAATGTCTGTAGATACCCTCCAGGGATTACAGGTATGTTGTTGGCAACATTAGCAGATGATAGAGGCATTTCAGAAGAACAGGTGGTTGGTAAGAAAGTAGAATTCTTAGAAACCTTTGCCTCATGAAATTCAGATAGATGAGAGCTGTTTGAGGTCCCAGGAATAGGCTCATTCTTTAAATTAGCCATAGAGGATTGATCTTCCAAAAGGGGGCTCATTTGAACAATTGGTTTATTTTCTTGCCCAGCTTTGATTTTCTTGGATTTTAACCTGGCTTCACTTTTAAATTTGATTTTGTTGAGCACTTTCCTTTCTGGCCCCTTAAATCCTGCATCTTGGGCTTTGACTTTTACTGAGTCAGGGCCTGTGACATCATTTAAATGCAATCCGTTTGCACAGCTGGGTACAGCCAAAGGTGTTGACTTCAGAGTACCTTTCAGGCCTCCGTCTTCTTTACGAGCACTACCTTGCTTCTGATCACTGCAGAGTGATATTTGCTTACTACTTGCTGAAGTTTCCACAGATGGGATTCTTTGAATCCTGTGCCTATTGCCAAGTTTAGATTTTCGTTTTCGAGCAGGTGGCAGAAATGACACCTCAAAGCTACCTGGTTCAAAGTTTTGTTTCTGGCATAAGGGTATCTTGTTGGAGTCAGTGTTGCTGTTTCTCTGTTTTTTCTTCTTCTGCCAGAACCCCTTCAAGGGGGCAAGCTTGGCATATTTGTTGAGCTGATTCTCACTCAAATTCACTGTTGTCTCACTGGAATCTACCCTTCCCAACTTCACCAGCATGTTCTTCTCACCTTTAAAGCGATTGATGATGATGTATTTGATAATAACAGGAGGCTCCTTACGGGTTACTTTTCTTCTCTTTTTGGGACACCATTCATCATCATCTTCTTCTTTGGAACCACCTGGAAGCCATTCTTTCCTCTCATTTACTTTTTCACCCTCTAGTGAATCAACGTCATATAGATAATCTTCACTGTACCTGACTTTTCTCTTGGCTCGCAGCCCATAGTTCTGCTGGGAGGAGGAGCTGCCAGAATTTGTGCCCCTAGCCATATAGCGGCTACAGTCCTTGATCTCCCCCATGGCATCATAAGAAACCTCAATGAAGGAATTGTCATCACCAAAATTCCCTGATGCCTCCAAGGAATTGTCAAGATGGCCCTGCTTTGGATTCTTAAATTGCCCTAATTCAGTCGCACTGCATGGTTTATTTAAGGCAGATTTTTCTCCATTATCCTTTTCATCCTTTTTCTCTATACCCTTATCTTCCTGTCCCTCTTCTTTGCCTTTCTTCTTGTCCAAGTTTTTATCCTCCTCCCCCCAGATGATATTCACATCAGGGACTTTGAATTGGGAAAGGTCACTGTTCTGTTTCAGGATCCCACTCTTAGACTCCCGCTTGGGGCAGGTAGTAAAGACACTGGGGAAAAAGTTGAATTGGGCATCCTCCTGCATTAGAAGGGTGGTCTTGTCTCGAACATTGTCCTGGAAGGACTCATACCGAATTTTCAAGGAACAGACATCACTGCCCAGTGTTGACTCATCATCATCGAACATGTAGTTATCCACATCTTCTTCAGAGAATAAGTTGACAGACAGCTCATTTTTGGAACAGAGGTCAAGCAGTTCAATCTTACTCTCACTAATGAAAGTCTCAAAGTAACCCCAATCCTGATTGGAATTTGCCAGCAAAGCCTCTTCTGTATTACACTTGTCTAACAGTAATGCCTCATAATAGCTTTTCTGAGCTGGATCCTCCAAGTCGATGTCAGATTTCTCAGCTTCTCGTTTTTCTCCTGCCCTTGATTTGTGCAAAGGGAAGCCTAGGAGCTGGTCTGAGAGCAGCTGCTCTCCATATTTCATGTTTTCTCCAGCATTAATACACTGAATTCCTATATCAGAAACTGCACAGGTTTCGTAATCTTTATTTAGATCACCAACTTTCAGACTGATCCCTGGCTCAGGATCTACTGCATCCTTGGATTCCATGAAGCAGCCCAAACAAGTCCGGCTTGGCTGCATGAGGCAGTCCCCATTCAGAGCTGACATGCCTGCAGGCTCCATTATGGCGAATGGAGCTTTCTCACACTCATTGGGCAGTGACCATGTATGCAGGCTTTTTGCAACACCAGATGTAAGAGAGATGGCATTCACAGAAGCACTATTAGCAGCATGCTCAGGTGCTTCAATTAGCCCTAAAGGAGATGGAGGGCTCTGCATACAAGGTTTCTTAGAAGACAGAGGCAGGAGACCCCTGGGATACATCAGGGTCTCTTTTTGAACTATCGGTATAGGCTGGATTGGTGCAGCAGCTTCTAGAGCTGCCAGTGACTTTACTGCCACACCCTGGTCCTCTGAATCTGGAGAAAAGGGAAAGAAATGACAGAAATAAAGTTAATGGTCTTAGACCACACTCACTCTCTTTCCCTTGATCAGTTTCTGGTACTTGATCTTATATAAGCTAAGGCTCAGCTTCTTTTGTTTTAGAACTAGAAACTACAAAGCTAAAGAACAGCACTGATTTTATATTGAATAGTCACACAAGTGAAAAACAGTATTTCTTTAGATTCAGCTTTTTCTTTAGACACAGAGCTCTCTTCAGAAATAAGGTAATAACTGGACTGCTTGATCAATTGAAAAGTCAAGGCTCTCTGGGTGGGAAAATGCTCAGATGGGATATTTATGGTTTTAAGCTATAAAGCTTAGTCCTATCATTCAGATCTCTGTTCTGGAAGTTCCTCTTAATCTAAACATTCCAAGCCACATATCAGAGTATATTTATAATTCACTAGGAATTTTGAGGAACTTAAGTATTCATCTGACAGAGATGATTTGCAAGAGCAAGGTGTTTGGATTAGATAACTCTTAGAGACCCTTCTAGCCCAGTTAGAAATTTGGTGGAATAAATTTAGGATTAATATCAATTTCAGAGGCACCCTAGACTTAACCTGCTCCAACTTGACGGACACTAAAAATCTATAGTAATAACAAAGACTACTAGGAGAGATAGTATATACCGTAATGAAATTCTCTTACCATTTTCTTTGGCCTCATTAATCAGAGTGTTTTCTCCATTGGCTGAGGCAACGACAGCCTTATCTTGTTGGTTATCCATGAATGTAACCTCTTATTGTTTCATTCCAAGTCCAAATGCTGTCCAACCTGCACATTTTAAATATATAATGTTAGTCATTAAATGTATTTTTGCCTCTGTTTTAAGGTCATTTCAGTTAGAGAGGTCTAAAAAGGCTCACTGGAATTTACCTGTTTACAGACTGACTTACTATTTTTTTTGTTTCATAGTTTATACCTGCTATATAAATCAATTTTAAAAATTTCATTTAAATTCAAGTTAGTTAGCATATAGTGTAGTATTAGTTTCAGGAGTAAAATTTAGTGTTTCATCACTTACATATAACACCCAGTGCTCATCCCAAGTGTCCTCTTTAATACCCATCACCCATTTAGCCCATCCCCCACCCACCTCCCTCCATCAACCCTCAGTTCTCTCAACTATACAGTCTCTTATGGTTTGCCTCCCTCCCTGTTTTTATATCATTTCAATTTTAAATATATACTTCATTCATACGTCCTAGATCTTTTATCCCCTCTAGGCCACCTTACTATTCATAATGGAAATCTGAAGAAGCAAGAAAACTTATGCCTTCTCCCAGATACAAATATATTTAACCTAATCATGGCCAAAGGATGCAGAGTGAAGTCGAGAGTGACCTGAGATAAGGAATGTATGTACGTGGTGATTGGCTTTATTTCTGTTTGCCTCATTTCTTCTTCAGATGATCTAAAGCTCTTCAAAAATAAGGTACTTCATACATACACACACATGTACATCACACTCAGATGTTTTCTCTCTGTGTCTTAAAATTTGACTGTAAGGGATGGAAAGAGGTAGAGAATTCCTTTCTTGGTTTCTCAACTTTCAGACCTGTTATTGACAAATATTCCTCCCAGTCCAGCAAGATTTTAAAGTGTTACTACAAAGAGAATTTGAAATTTCTGAAAAGGTCCCTACATCATCTGGTATTTTCATTACATAGAATACATATCTATATCCCATTATCTACTGCCCACCTACCTGGTTGGTAGGTATATGCAAATCAATAGAAAACAAGGCCACATGAGATGGAGTTGTCTACCACATGCCATCACATCTATAAATCCTCATTTATTACAACCCCCCTTTTTCTAGACCTTGTTCTTAGCCAAGTATCGTCTCTTTATTAAAAACACAGACTTTGGGTGCTTGGCTGGCTCAGTTGGTTAAGCAGTCAACTCTTGATTTTGGCTCAGGTCATGAACTCAGGGTCCTGGGATTAAGCCCTGAGGTGGCTCTGTGCTCAGCAGGGAATTTGAGGAATCTCTCTCTCCCTCTTCCTCTGCCCCTCCTCACCTCAAATAAATAAATCTTTAAAGTAGCACAGACTGCTGATGGCCAAGCAGTTATTACAAAAATCTCAAGTGTATAATCACTTATCTTACTACATGAATATACTATAAAAGATAGGTACAACATTCATGGAACAAGAAGCAGTGAGCAGAATTTTATATGACTCAATCTCTGTGACGTTTTGCCTATTTCCTTATCTGTAAAATAAGAAGTCTATATTAGGCAATCATCCAATTTTAAAAATATCAGATGGTCCTGAGTTTCCCCTAACACTTATATATCTGAATTGCCAAACTTTCTTCTCACTCTATACAAGACCTGATTTGAGAGCAGTCAATAAACCACAGGTGCCAGGGAAAAGAGAAAGATATGCTTAATTGTTGTATTTACACAAAAAGAAGGGCTGGAGATTTCTAGCAAGTGGAGAGGAGTGGCTAGCATGTCAAAGTCCCCATCTCTTGGCAAGAAGGGCTCATTTGTAGTGGAACTGAATAAACTGATCAGATGGTTGGCCCTCTGCTTCAGAGAGAATCTTATGGGTCAGATGGAATCACACAGCTATCATGGATTCCTCTGTGCCAACTTTCCTTTTAAGAAACTCAGCGGAAGGGTGCCTGGATGGTTTAGTTGGTTAAGTGTCCAACTCTCGATCTCAGTTTAGGTCATGATCTCAGGGTCATGAGATGAAGCCCTGTGTCCAGTTCCATGCTGAGTGTGGAATCTGCTTAAGATTCTCTCTCTTTCTCCCTCTCCCTCTGTGCACACTCCAAACCCTGCTCATGCATGCTATCTCTCTCTAAAACAAAACAAAGCAAAACAAAACAAAAACAAACTCAAATGAACTTTAACTATCATTTTACTTTCCCTTAAAACCTCCCCTTCACTAACTCCATCTTGGCAGGGAGTTGATAAAGGCCAAATTATTTGTAGATTTCAATAATTAAAGGGAATCATAAAGGGTTGAAAATAGAAAGAACACACCTTGGCAAGAAATAAAGAAGATATGGAGAAGGGTATGGGAGCTTAATGAGTTGGAAAGGGGAGAGTAAGAGAATGAATAACCACCAGGTATTAAGCTAGATATGGTTACAGATGTTATTTCATTTTGTACTGATAATTATCTTGTAAAATTGGCGCTGTTAGGTTTACATTTTTTTCAAAAGAGAAAACTAAGTATATAGATGTTAACTTAGTGATTATCAATTATTTGGACCTTTGTTCTGCAGAATTAGAAGGCTAACCCTTGAATAGATAATCCTGGGGTCATGTCCTATGTCTTTTCAAAGCTCAGCTGTGAGACAACCTACAGGCATATATTTCCCCACATTTTTATTTATTTATGTCTTGGTTGCTTATAAGTATGATTTGAGAGAAGGACAGTAATGTATAGTTGTAAATACAAACAGTTCTTGGCTTGCTTTAGCTTCTCCTCACTGATCAGCATTTTGGGACAATAAATTTTGCAGGATTTTAAAAATCTATTTTGAGATAAAATTGATTACCACTTTTGGAATTATGTACAACAAATTGCTTTGCTGATCATGGTAAATCATGCAATTTAATGGCACTGAACTAACATTAGCATGGAGACAGGTATTATGAAGCAAGGAAATGCTCAATTAAACTGGTAAAGCAACCCTGCTTACCTGCCCTTCCCCCCAGTTAGGCCTGAAGAGGGGTTCATATCCTATCGCAATAGGCTGCTATGTTCTTCCCCAAAGGCCTTTAAGCCTCAGGTCTCAGAGTCTAAGTAACTTTCCCTAGCATTTGTGCTGTCCTTGACCTTTTTCAACAACAACAACAACTACTACAACAACCACCAAAACAAAAAAGCAATACAGGGAAGTAAATCATGTTTCTGCCTTTGGACCTGAGACAACATAAGCTCTGAGGTTTGAGTAATGCTAATCTTCAGGATACCAGTTTAAATAAATTCAACAAATTGACAAGGCACCACCTGTGGTAATGGTAGTGTACTAGGCACAACAGTGGGAAAGACAGGTGAATGAATAAAACTAGATCCATGTTCTCAAGGCTCTCAGAGTCTGTTGGGAGGGAACAAGCCATAATAATCATAATAATAAACAATAATCAGGTCCAACATGGATAATGAAGCTGGCAAGGGTCTAGCTGTCATACTGGAAAGGAGGCAACTGACCAGCAAGTTATTATAGATGGGGAATGTATAAATTTAGTTGGGGACTGAAATGGAACAAGGAGATGGAATTGCAGTAGTGAACCTGTAGTGAACAGGTCCAGAGAAGATTTCCAGGCTAGCCTCGCCAAGCTCTGTCTAGTCTGACTCTTCCCAGTTCAACTTTAGTCAGTATAATAGATGACATAATCAGCAGTAGTTCAGAGAGTACATTTTTATCCATAATGCTGCTTAGCTAATTCCATTTTCTAAACCTGTCACGATTTCAAGGCACTAGGTTAGAAATATGGAGGTGTGATGCTTTTACATACAGAAAACATACTTAAATGAGGACCCACGTAAGTTTAAAAATATTAAGGGTGAGAGAGGCATGAAGAGATGATCACAGTTAAACTAAAGAATTTTATATCTCAGGCATCCCGGGTGGCTCAGCGGTTTAGTGCAGCTTTCAGCCCAGGGCCTGACCCTGGAGACCCCAGATCGAGTCCCGTGTTGGGCTTCCGCATGGAGCCTGCTTCTCCCTCTGCGTGTGTCTCTGCCTCTCTCTCTTTCTCTCTCTCTTTCTCTCTCTCTCTCTCTCTGATGAATAAATAAATAAAATATTTTAAAAAAGAATTTTATATCTCGGGATCCCCGGGTGGCGCAGCGGTTTGGCGTCTGCCTTTGGCCCAGGGCGTGATCCTGGAGACCCGGGGTCGAATCCCACGTCGGGCTCCCGGTGCATGGAGCCTGCTTCTCCTTCTGCCTATGTCTCTGCCTCTCTCTCTCTCTGTGACTATCATAAATAAATAAAAAAAACTTACAAAAAAATAAATTAAAAAAAAGAATTTTATATCTCTCAAAAGTACAGTATAAATCTATTTCATCCCTCATTATAAAGATTCCAAAACTCAAAGATATGCACAAAAATGCACTGTCTATATAAAAGATCTAAGCCAATGCCATAAAACCTAGTGTTCAATAAAACTTGAATTAGGGCTAGAAGGAAACAAACAGAGGTACTCATGCATTCACGTCAGGAATAGCCAAACTCCCTACTAGTCTTAATTTCTAAATTTTTAGGCCATAGGTAGCTCCACTTTATGGGCACATCTGAGTACCTTTGCCTTTGCAAATCAATTTTATTTTTAAGCCTTCTCCTGCTTATTTTCTCTCTCACATCCAAAGAACAAGTGGTAAATAAGTCTAATTACTGTTTGTCAGGTAAAGAATGGGTATTTCAAAAAAGAGTTTCTTTCTTCTTGTCACCAGACCTAAATGGGCAGTATAATGGCATAGTAAGCATAGAGACACCAACTTAGGACACCCACTGGTGTGTACAAGATGGTGAGTTCTTAGAAGGAGCATGCCACTGTAGCCTGGCACTTTCTGAGAATGGGTTTATACAAGGACTGTGTCCTAATTACCGAGTGCCTTCACTGACAGGCACCATTGAGTTACATTTAATGCTTGAGTGCAAGAACTGTAGGCTGAATTACCCTTTGGCTTTCTCCATACAGTTTCTAATCTCTTTTCTTACTACTAATCTATCTTGTTAATTGCATTTTTAAAA